TTATGAAAATATTATAAAAAAGCGATATAAAAAAAATTCATATACATATATGTTCAAAAAATAAGTTTAAAATGCAATAAATAAAAAGAAATCCTTCTTGTTCGATTTTCTATGTTTCTTTTTGTTCACTTTTTCACAAAAATTAGACCAATCTTTCGTAATTTCTCACACAACATTTCACCAAATGGACAATACACGTAATACTTTCCTCTAAATTTTTACTTTAAACCATGTATGCTTGAAAGATAAATGTTTAAGTGAAACATTGAAACACTAATTTAAATAGAGAAAGAAAGAGAGCAATAAAAAAAAGGAGAAAGAGAAACGGGGGGCAACTTACTTATTTCATGCATGTGCACTCTATTTTAGCCAACATAAAATCAAGAGAGTTGCGCTACTGTATATACTGTACTGCTTTTGTAATCATATAACCTAATACCATCTAACGGTATACCCCCACCATCTCTACGGAGCTCGATTACTAGATCCAATCAGAGAAGATCGGGTCAAACAGGTCACGTGATGCAGTTTGCCATTCTCTTCTTGTGAGGCTCTCTAGTTTGAGTAGCTTGTGAAAATGCATCTTTATGGACAATCTTTATGGACAAGTTTACTGCTATTTCTATTTGGCTAGGTTTTCAACGAATATTAAGCGTTAATTTTAATAACGTGACCTGTTTTGACGCTAAAAATGAGCATTGTAATGTCAAGTGAAAACTGGTGAAAATCCAGTCAAATTTTCCATTATCCCGGATCTACAATAGGTGTTTTAAGCCTTAAGCCGTAAGGAATTGATCAATTATAGCCGAAAAGAATAATTAATTGCGATTCGTCCATTCTTTATGACTTAAGACTTAAAAAAATTTAATATAGATTCGAAGTAACGCTTGCTTAGTTCATAAGCAAATCCAATCAATCAGAATTTCTTCTCTCCTCTCATTTCGAAGAAAAGAAGAATTTAGATTGGTTGATTCTCTTATGCACTATACTATGCGTTATGCAAGTCTGTGCTGCGGCCAATAGTTGGTACGGGAGCATCGGAAGCGCCGCTTCGTGTATTGTTAATCGTCGTAGTCGCGATAGTCGCGTGTCCAGCAAGTGAAGTGAGAAGTGAGATAACTGACGCGCAACGTGAGGATCGGCCTGTCTTGTATGAAAAGAAGAGAAAAAAGCAGAAGAAAAGAGGAGCGCGCTCGCGCGTATGTGTGTGTTGTATGTATGAGGATTGTGAGGTGAATTAGGACACGCGGATGTGCATGCAATTGCGCATCTCATATCGATGATATCGCGTTCGACGAACGACTCCCTGGGCCGAAGGGAACGAATGAAGTAAAAACATCGTCATAAAAGGAGGTTGTGTTGGACGGCGCGAGCGAAAGTGTCTGTGGCGTATATATACGCGATACAAACTAGCTCTCTCTCTCTCTCTCTCTCTCTCTCTCTCTTTCTCTTTCGGTGCGCAATAATACATACGTATATCAGTGAAAGAGACGAGAGTGCGAATATTTGCTAATTGCACGTACGACGATATCGGGGAACGAAACGGAGTGACCGTGCCGCGCGACGAGATCGTGAGTGAGTGAGTGAGGGTAAAAAAGCATAAATATAAAAGAGAGAAAGAAATCGAGAAACATCGAGAGCGCTCAGGGCTTTAGTGCGGCGTGTGCGGACCTCGTCTGTTCTGTTCTGTTTACCAAGGTTAAAGAGAACGAGACGATATCGTGGATGCCTCGTTAAAATGGCGCTGATCGGCACCGTTGTCGGCCCATAGGAAGAGAGAAAAAGAAAAAAGAGCAGCAGGTAAAGTGAAAAAAAGGGGGGGGAGACGATCACTGTTTTGACATCGTCGAGAGCGCACGGAGAATTATTGTATTATCGGTCCTTCATTCCGTGCACCCCCTAATCGCCGGCTTCCCCTCTCCCTTCTCTCTCACACACACACACACACACACACACACACACACACATTTTTTCTGTATCCCTCCTCATCCGTTTTCTCATCGTTTCTTTATCCATCGCGTTTCGCTTGCATTCTCGCTGTCTTTGTTGCGAAGCGTAGTTGCGGCCGACCATCGACGATCAACGTATACCGACGACCACCACGAGAGGAGCCTGCTGCAGTGCATTGCTTGACGCAGAGAAAAAAGCTGGTGAGAATTGCGACAGCATTGGCGTGCGACGTAAACGTATACAGTGGCAGTGATCTCGGAAAAAAAGAAGGAGGTTTGCTGGTTCGACGCGACCGCGATGCCCGTGCCGCATCGCCACGCTTCTGACGTGAAGAAACACTTTGGACGGTACTCGGGCACATCGACGGAAGAGGCTACATTATCACGGAGAGTGGTTGGAGGCACGGAAGTACGACGGCTCGTCGCCAGGTGAGTGAGTGAGCGAGTGAGAGAGATATGCTCTCCTGAATTTTACTTGTCTATTTTTTATTGATCAACTCTATGAACTGATGCATATCCTTGTACATTTCTGTTATCAACTGTTCTTATTGGTTGCGCTTTTTATTGCGTTAATCTAACACAGTTATCATTTTTATTTCATTTTTGTTTAACATTGGTAAATAACAAGAATGTAATGACTCACTAGATTATGCTGTACCATCTGCAGATCTGTTTGCGTCGCTTGCATTTTTTCAATTCAGCATCTTTGCTTTCTCTCTTTTCGTCGTCGGGCTATATATCCATCTCATTTGAAATGCGAAAATTTTGGGGAACTTGAAACAATGTGGATAGACGTTATGCCTCTCACTGGAAAGCATCCATAGTTATTTCATTTTTACAATACTTGTATTATGCACCTGTTGAGAGGATTCTTCGAGAGAACGGGCCTCTTTCCACTTTAATTCCTACAACAATTTACTGCACAATTAAAAAGCACAGGGCAATCAGGAACAACAGATTTTTAATCTATTAGAAATCTCTCTCTCTCTCTCTCTCCCTCCCTCCCTCCCTCCCTCTTTCCGGTATACATGGTTTCTGATGGGTTGAAATCTGTTATTCCTCCCATTGTCTGCACTTTTTCAATTGTACACTTTTCGTCCGCGAGTGTGTCTCTCTCTCTCTCTCTCTCTCTCTCTCTCTCTCTCTCAAAGTGGAAAGAAGGAAAAAACTTTTTCCCGCGTCAGCGTCGTCTAACCGTCGTCTAATCGTCGCGGCGCATTCGAAAACGATCGCGGCATCACGCCTCTTTTCACCTTGAAAGGTTTATTTACGAGGGTGCAGGGATCTGCGCTGAACTAAGAACAGTAAGAACGCTGGCAGTGTAACCGATCGCCGCCAGGGTGTTGTCACTCGATCTACGTGTGTTGTCAATTTACACCATTGTCCTCTGCGCAGCGCACGCGATAGGTTATACGTATATTCTCCCGTGTCACCGATGACTATGCAGATTAAAGCGTGATCCTCGCCGAAACAATCGACCCCACGTGATATCCGCGATACGCTTTCTCGCGTCACGACCGACCCGACCGCGGACGGAGGAAAACGGAAAGGAGGCGAACGAGACTGCGATCGCATCGAGGCATCGAGGCATCGAAGGATGACCGACGTGTGGCACAAAGAGTAAGGATGACCCACAGAGGATCGAGCTAAAGGAGGAGATAAAGGGAAGAAAAAGAGTTGCGATACGTTTCATAACGTTGGGTCATTCTTTTGCGATCGCAAGTCGATTCTTAGAAATTCCGACGATAGTTCAATTTGTCCTCTTTCTCTGATCTCTGATTAATTATCAGATATCGCGCACACGTAGGTGCATACACTCGTTAAGTCTGTTTTTTTTTTTTTTTTTTTTGTAACTAAAGCTAGTGTACATTTTTTGTATCTAAAGTAAAATAAGTACATGTTTGGTATTTGCCGAAAACAAGAAAGTTTATGTGCAGTTCAGTGTAGTGGTAAAAAGACAAATAAGTATACATGCTTGTTCTTTTTCAAGAAAAATTCTGAATTGGTATACACTGTATTGGTGCAATAAATTGGAGTAAAATAAACTATATACTAGACTTGTTTGTTTTTCTCGCTTCAACTGATGTACACCAATTCAGAACTTTCTTTGAAAAAAGATAGTATAATGTACTTTTTTCCAATTACTATTGCATTGTATAATGTGCAACATCATTGCAAAATCAGTTACATAGAAGTTTAGATGACAAAAGTAGACGAAAAGTCTAGAATCATCTCTCAAGACTACGCTTTGTCTATTTTTATAATTAAAAAGAATTTTCTAAAAAGTTTTTCTTTCTATTCTAATAATAATAAAAAGAGTGAGAAGCTAGAAATTGACCAATCACGATCGAATGTGAAAAGAATAATCGATTATTGTGATTGGTCAATCTCTATAACTTTTCACTTTTAATTTATTAGTAATAGATTTTTACCATTAGTAATAAATCATTGGAAGCCTCCAAACTTTAAAAATGTTGGCAAAATGCACCTAAAATGCTTTTTCATTTATCTAGAATTCTTTTATCTATTGAATTGATTATCGACATTCTACACAAGTTTGAAGAGTTCTTGAAACAAAGGCCAATTTATAACAAATGCTATTAAAGAAATTAATTTAATTTTTAAACTAAAACTTGAAATAATGATTAATAAGATGCCTAATACTTTTGACTACTTACTAAGAGTATATATAGTTTCGCAACTACATGCACATCATTATACAATAATTAGAAATAAATAAGCTCTATTCCTTTGCTCAAACTTTTCCGAATGCACATGGTTATAAAAAACATGTCATCGTAAGATTGGGATTAGGATTCCTCTATATATGTGTCAATCTTTAATTTTGTTTTTTAATGCTGAACTTTCTGAATTAGAAGTAAAAAGTGTACACTGAATTGCGTTCTTTATTGCAGAATTGGTGTCAACGACATCAGCATACTGTTCTTTATTGCAGTATAACGAAACTCAGTAAAAGGTTCACTGAACTGGCTACACTAGGACTAGAGTTAGTGCAGCAGTGCAGGGTACGCGGAAATGTTGCGTTGCGTTCAGCAAAACAACTTTTGGTTTTACAATGTTAATTTACATTATGTCTAAATGTAATAATATTATCTTTATGTATTTTTTTACCATTATTATCTTCGATTAAGACTGTTTCCAATGGTGAAATTATAATTACATCTTCATCTGATGAATCTAACAATTCTAATAATATTAGTGTGATCCGCCATGTCTGCACTATAACGTTTTTTATTATCTATATCTACACTGTGCCCTTGCTCAGTTCTAGTGCTGCGATAAACAACAAACCTTTTGTATATTTCTTTAATATTTTGCAATTTCTTTATTTACAGTTTAATCTATGCATGAGTTGTAGAAATCAGTCATACTACCATCAGTTCTCAAAATCCGTGCACCCTCGTAAATAAATTATGAAATGTACTCTCTCTCTCTTAGAAATTTGTATCTGATTAAGTGATTTTAATAATTCTTTCATACACACATGGAAGGGGAAAATTGTTTTCTAAAAATTTGTGGAATATATTACTGAATGTTTAATGTTAGTATTCAGTATAGTTGACAATTATATGCATTTGGATATGTAATAGAAACGTTTTGTAATATTTATTTTGAATGAATTAAGAATGCTCGTTACTTGAAATAAGTCGTTACTTAGAACTTTTATATCTTATGATATTAAGCCATGTGAGATATGATATCTGTGGAATGTAGCAATCTTATTATGATAGTATGACTTTCATTGTATTTTTTTAATAAATAGACAAATTAACTAAGTTTTATAACATTCTTTCTTATGTTATTAATCGTATTAATACAATAATAAATATAGTATTACATTTTATTACATCAAGAACTCGATATATTTTATAACTATATATTTATTACTAAATTACTAATTTTTATAGAGTAAATGTCACTATAAAGTTTATGACGTAATCTTTTATTTTAGATATTAAATTTACAAGGAGTCATTAATACATCAAAATGAAAATCGATCGCAGTAGATTGAAAAAATGCACTTCCGAAGTGGTAAGTATTTTGCACAATTTTCATTAAAATATACATTAAATGTGAAATTTAAGGAAAGATTACATAATTTCTTTTGCGCGCGCGCACGCGTGTGTGTATGTAAGTGCGCGTGTGTGCGGGCGTGTGTATAATTATTTCAATCATATGCAATGTAAGAGAAATTTAGATATGGTTTTAATTTGTAAACTAATTTCGATTAATTGTAAATTGTTTCTTGGAATAAAAGGAATTTCTAATACTCACGCATACTTTATTTATATTTAATTTGTTCAAATTATAATTATGCATAACGTTTAGCCAGCAGAATGTCAGGCACTCATAAGCAAATTGCGCTCTTGCTCGCATGCAGAGCTGCTAGAAGAACTAAAGCAGATAGATGCATGGACATTCGGAAAGTGCGAATTATTCCATTGGATTGATGTCTTAGATCTCAGTGACAGTATTTTAGAAGAAGCTGCAACAAGAAGTCCAGATAATCCATGGGAATTAGCATGCGATCTTCCTCAGAATCGAGAGGTTTGTTTAATAATTGATCTCTATTAATATCAACTGATTAAAATATGTGTTACTCTGAATGTATAGTTTTACATTAAAAGTCTAATTAATAAAATAATTCATATATGATTATTAACTTGATACATAGGCAAAAGAGCTGCTTCTTTGGGTTCTCCATTTCACAACATTGTTAATTGAGCATTCATTTTCACGGCATTTGTACAACAGCATGGAGCACTTGGTTACTTTACTATCAAGTTGTAACATGAATGTAGTCCTTGGTGTATTAAATCTTCTGTACATGTTTAGTAAACGCAGTAATTTTATTACACGTCTAAATAGTGACAAACGGCAAGCTTTGCTCAGCAGGCTTATACATCTAGCTGAGGTCAGTAACCTTAATTTATATTTAGCGATATAATTTAGCTCTATTTATTAAATAATAACTTATTACAGAGTTGGGGAGGAAAGGAAAATGGTTTTGGTTTAGCAGATTGCTGCAAGGAATTTCCAGAAAAAGTAAGCACGTGCACATTTAATTATTATGTGTAATAATGTGTAACATGATAGTTTTATTAATAATGTTATATGCATAGTATATGTATATATTTTTTATTTTATAGGCATTTCCAACAAGTGCTACAACGTTACACTTTGAATTTTATGCGGAAAATCCGACTGTAACGGAGCCATCGGCAACTGGTACATTACTCTCTAGTACAAAGAAAGTTGGTCAAATGAATCTTGTAACATATATACATATAGAAAATGTTGATAAACTCGGAAAAACCCCAGCACAGATTATGAATGATCTGTTAAAAATTTATAATGTACCTCAGGAACGACAGGTAAGGTTTAGAAATTTTTTTTTTCTCATGTAAATGATATGATTTGTAGGCTGCATTCCGGGAACGCTTTCAGCGCTAATGCGTCATTCAATCTTTATCGTTTATGAGATGTACAGTGCAGTGCATTAATTTGTTGGGTTATAGTAGCGGCCGACTTAAAAAAAAAAAGAAAATGCAGTACTAAAAAGTTTATAAAAAATTTTGAAAAAATTCTTAGAGTTCTATGAGAAGAAAATAAATGAGATTTTTGTCTCTTACAGTTTTTCTGTAAAGTTGATAGTATTTGAGTAAAAACTAAACGTCAATAAGTCGGCGGGCGCTACTACTATGACCCAGCGAATTAATGCACTGCAGTGTACATAAAACTTTATATACATAAAAATTAGATACGAAAAAAAAAACAAGGATAGAATGTGCTGATACCGCTGAAAACGCTGAAAACGCGCTTCCGGAGATTACAACCAGAGAGAGATATTTTTTAACGCACTTAAAATGTTATTAGATGGCTCTATTGACACATATAAGACTAGCGCATAGTTTTTCGGATTATCGAAGACGATTGCAGTGCGTGCAAGCTCGGCTTCAAGCTTTATCCGTACTTGTATACAGCAACGCATTGCAGGAAAATGCACACAGTCTTCTTCACGCTGGACTTCTTGAAGAGCTTGTGGAACTATTGGAATTACCACATACTCACCTTGTTGAGATACGCGCGGCAGCATTGCGTACTCTTACGAGCATCATACATTTAGATCGGAATCCACACTTTCCCAAGTAAGTATACATATATTTTTCTATTTCATAAGAATTTGATATCTAATATGGTATTTTAATCTTTATTTTTGTGATTCCAGAAAACCAGGTTCACGATTGAACATGATTATTGACGTCACTGGAGCTAGCTCGTATCACGGCTTTCTACCTGTTTTGGTTCGTACTTGTATAACAACGTTAACCTCACCACAACCAGATGGTCAACCATTTCCTCTCCCGCTTGCGACAGCCTTATTTAGTTTTTTGTATCATCTTGCAAGTTACGAGGCGGGTGGAGAGGCTCTTGTAAGTTGCGGCATGATGGAGAGTCTTTTAAAAGTCATTAATTGGCCAGGAAGTGAACTGGAGCATATAACGGTATTGTTTAACAGAATATATAATACATTTTCTTACAATTCGATATTAATAATGACAGAAATTACGATTTAAATTTGCGTTTTACATTCTATTTGTAAAATATATTCAATCTTATTTATTCATTTTTTGTTTGCAGTTTGTAACAAGAGCAGTGCGTGTCATAGATTTAATAACAAACATAGATATGCAAGGTTTTCAAACTCATAGTGGTTTAGCTAGTTTCATCAACCGTTTAGACATGGAAGTTAATGTGTGTCGGAAAGAACAGCCGTTTGAAATAGAGCCATTGCTCTATCAGGATGCACCACAAACCTCACGTGAAAGATCGATAGAAAGGGAGGAAAGCTCTTCCACATCACGCCGGGAACATGAGACTTTCGATGAACGAGAGGAATCGTCTAATCCTATGGAAATATCAGAAGATGAAAATACAGTTGCCAAAGCAGATGAGAAGAACGAGCAGCAACCAGATTATTCTGCTGCCAAGACTGGCAAAACGTGTTTACCACAACGAGCAGCACTCCTGAAATCAATGTTGAATTTTCTCAAGAAAGCAATTCAGGATCCGGCATTTTCTGACAGTATACGACATGTTATGGAGGGTACATTACCATCGTCTCTGAAGCATATTATAAGTAATTCAGAATATTACGGTCCTTCGTTATTCTTACTTGCTACTGATGTCGTGACTGTATATGTTTTCCAAGAACCGTCATTATTATCATCTCTACAAGACAACGGCTTGACTGATGTTGTACTTCATGCTTTACTCATAAAAGAAGTGAGTGTAAATAATTTATATTTAATTTTGTGTTTTTCACAATAGAGTATTTTTATGATATGATACCAAAAGCGTTTTTAACAATTGCTATGTCGTGTAATAGGTTCCTGCCACTAGAGAAGTATTGGGCTCTTTACCTAATGTGTTCAGTGCTCTGTGTTTAAATCAACGCGGTCTTGAATCCTTTGTGAAACGGCGACCATTCGAACGCTTATTTAAAGTACTTCTCTCGCCTGTTTATCTTTCGGCAATGCGACGGCGACGAAGCGCCGATCCATTAGGTGATACAGCTTCAAATTTAGGCAATGCCATGGATGAGCTGATGAGGCACCAACCAAGTTTAAAAGTTGATGCTATTGGAGCAATTATTAAGGTATTAATTAAATATGAACTGCGTTTTCTAACAATTAATTTTGTTGTTGTACATTGCATTTCTCAAATTATTTTTATTTGTCTTTTTCTTTTAAATTTATTAGCTACTCGAAGAATTGTGTGTATTGGGCTGTGATCCACGGTACATATGCTGGCGTGCTGCTAGTAAATCTGAAAATTCACCATCAAACACGGCTTCTGGAAATCGTCAAACATCTGGTCAATCAGTCGGCGTTGGAGTAGGAGACTCTGGTGGCGGTGGTGGAGGAGGCGGCGGTAGCAGTAGTGATGAAGAAGAAGAAGACGAGGAGGAAGCTAGTACAAGTTCGCATCCTCAACGAGAAGAGCAACCTAGCATGTCACCTCAACAGCCTGGACCGCCACCTCAACCAAGAGAGAAGACTCCCATTGCTTTAGTGGAATATATTCACAATGTTATGAAATTTGTGGATGCTATACTCAGCAACAATTCAACCGATGATCACTGTAGAGAATTTGTTGCTCAAAAGGGACTCGTTCCACTATTATCGATTTTGGGTCTACCTAATTTACCTGTTGATTATCCTGTCGCACAAGCGGCCCAATCTGTAGCTTCTGTATGCAAAAGTATCTTGGTACGTATTTTGATCTTTCCGTATAATTTTTTTATACATATTTTTTAAATGTAACTATATTACAAATATAATTTACAGAATCTCGCACATGAACCATTGGTACTAAAAACAGGTTTGTCACAATTAAATGAAGTGCTAAATTTGTTGAAACCACTTCACAACAATTTAGAATCCCCTGGCGCCTCTGTTTTGTTACACGAACTTGCGTCAGCTCCAAATCTGGAAACCGCATTTACAAGCGACACTGCTACGCCTTTGTTACACGCTATGAATGCAGCCCATGGATACGTAGTGATGTTTGTTCATGTTTGCCGTACTAGCCAAAGTGACATCCGAAATCTTTCTATGAATCACTGGGGTTCCGAATTGGGCTTGACCGTCCTCAAAGGTTTGTCGGAGCTTTATATGTCTCTCGTTTGGGAGAGTACATTACTCCTCGCATTATGTAGCGAGGATATTATTCCGGCCGGATGCGAATTTGGCAAAGAAGACATGGATAAATTGATGCCACCCGAGTTAAAAACCGAGGGCGAACCTTCGGCCTCTTGGTCCGCTAGTGTATCCTCGGATATGGGAAGTAATGGGATGACTACGGCCATGGAAGCTCTTAGCACAGATCCGCCGCCGGTGCCGATGGAGGTAGACGACAAACCAAATGTAAACACCGACAGGCCCAACAACTATCAGTTAAAATATATCAAACCTTTACTTGGCGCTTCTTCAAGACTTGGCAGAGCACTTTCAGAACTATTTGGTCTACTTGTCAAACTTTGCATGGGTTCTCCCGTAAGACAACGTAGAGGACAGCAAATGCCTCTAACGCCCACGTTGCCCTCTCAGGCAGCGCGAAGTGTTGCCACTGCATTGAACTGTTTATTGACACGCGGGTTATCGTGGGATAAATTACCCCCATCACCAATTCCCAAATTTAAACTCACTTTTCTCATATGTTCAGTGGGATTTACATCACCGATGCTCTTTGACGAGAAGAGGCATCCTTATCACCTGATGCTTCAGAAATTCGTCAAATTGAACGGTCAAAATGCATTTTTCTCTACTTTTCATTGGGCTTTATCAGGTGGAGGCCATTTTGCGTTATCTGAAGGACTGGAACATCCGAATCTACCTGATGGAACTGGCGAGTTTTTGGATGCCTGGCTGATGCTGTTGGAGAAAATGGTTAATCCTAAGGCTATCTTAGACTCACCCCACGTGGTCTCGTCAAAGTGTACGGGAATATATAAAGTATGCGAGACGTTCGATCCAATAAGATACCTCATCGATATCCATAAAAAAGCTTTCGAGGCGGTGATGCTGATGTGGGGTAAAAAACCACTCAAAAACTACGGAGCTCGCATGACAGAGTCTATTTTATCGATTTTACGACATATTCTACGTGGCGAGAAAATCATCAAGGAACGCACGGAAAAGGAAGAAAGCGGAGACAATGCGATAGCTAGTGGTAGCGGTGCGAGTGGCGTTGGCAGAAGTGGTGGATCTGATCGTCGTGACGAACCAGAGGCGGACGTCAATCCGGAATATTTGAGACAACTGATGGATATGGGCTTCAGTCGAGCACATTGTATAGAAGCGTTATTGCACACGATGACGGTAGAACAGGCAACCGATTACCTCCTAACGAATCCTGCGACTCTACGTAGACCCGATGCTCCAGTAAGCGACGCCAGTGGTCAAGGTTTGATCATGGATTTGGAATTGGCGGACGACGATCAGATAATGCATGCTATTGCAATGTCGCTCGGCGATACAGATACGCGTAAGATTTCGGGTATTGAAGAAATTCCGTCTCGCGAAACGACCATCACCGAAAGTATAGACGAATTTACGCGTAGTGCACTTGGGCAATGTCTTAATCTATTAGACCTCATGCCGGACACGGTATATAGAATTTGCGATCTATTAGTGACCATCACCAAGAGAAACGGCGATGAGTGGCGAGATGATACGTTACGGCAGTTGATACGCGAGGTTGGACGTCTAGTGAATTACCTGATTGATATCGCCGAGAGCCAGGATGAAAATGCCGGAGCCCGATTGGTGGAATGCGAAGAGGCGAATAAACTTTCTGGCCGCCTTTACCTTTATACTCTATTCTTTGAAGGTTCGTTTCAGGAGATGCGAGTGCCATGTGCTCTTATAGTGGAAGAATGCGCGATACTTGACAAACTTGTACGGTTGTTGGTGGTGAGCGAGGCTCCGCTCACCGCGAACAAGAATAGAATCGCTAAAGACTGCAAGGATACCAGCGCTGTGTTGAGTATGAAGACACCAAAGTGGTTAGCGCCTTTGTTATTGCTCATCGACCGACTGGAAAAGGTGGCCACACTTACGCAACGAAAGCAGATGATGCATAAGATCACGACCAAATCGTGGAAGTGGTTTGACTTAAGTACTGGTAAATGGACCCCCTATTCGCCTATGAATAATCGAATCATCAATGACGCATATTGGGCAGGCGAGTCCAGTGTGCGAATATCATGCAGTCGACGCCGATATCTCATCACCTTTTCTTGCATGACACAAGTTAATGAAGATAGTGATAACAGACGGCCCATCACAATGGGCTTCAAGCTCAGCACAGATAAGGAGGATGGTGGTTCGGGTTCCGATTCAAATATGGATACCGACGAGAGTCCGGTAGGAGAGGAGAGACGAAATACAGTGGTTCAAGGATTAGATCCTAGTATAGCACCGAGTATTGTACGGTGAGAAATACATTAATGGATACAAATATATAATGTAATAATTTAGACCTTGAAAAAAAAGTAGATAATTTTATTACACGATATATTATGATGCTGTATAATTAACTAACATATTAATACTTTTCTATGTTTTAATATCATTTTTTGTAATGTTTTGTGTGATCACGCATTACACAGGATTACAAAAAATAAAAAATAAAACACATCAGAATAACTGTTTTTTTATAAATTTTGGATCGCTGAATCCATATTTGTAACCCATTTTATTCTATCACTTCTAGTTTTTTAGATAATTGAGAAAAATGAATGGAAGAATGAATGGAAAATCTGTGAAAATTGAAACGTTTGAGAAAAAAGCAAAAATAAATATGACATTAAAATTATAGAATTGATTTGAATGTATCTTGGTAAGTTGGACAAGGAGTACAAAACAAAAAAATTTACTTTACTAATGTTGAGATGACACGGCATAAATAAGTTGGTTCAAAGTACCATTGTACAACGATCTGCGCGAGTCATAGAAAGTTTTTTTAGCTTTAGAAATGAATATTTTAATTGTTACTTTTAGAAGATAAGATAACAATTAAAATATCCATTTCTGAAACTGCAAAAATTTTCCATGACTTATATATAGATCATTATTTGTTGCACAATGGTGGTAGTCACCGATTTATTTTACGATTTGTCAAACTACATAATATCTAACATTAACAAAGTAATATTTTTTTGTTTCTAACACTTCGTGTAATCAAAATATATTTAAATTAATTCTGCAATCGCATTTTAATGTCATATTTACTTTGCTCTTTCCTCAAACGTTTCAATTTTTAAAGATTTTCCATCATTTTTCTTGATTATCTAAAAAATTGGACATGGAGCAAAACGGCTTACGAAATCGAAACAATCCAAAATCTATAAGAAACACTTTTTCTGATTTGTTTTTCGAAAACTTTGTTTGTAGTTCTGTGTATTATATGAAATACATTTTTACGTATAAAATGGAGTTAATAAAGAGTAATAAACATCTCATAAATATTATTTATATTGCAGCGCGTGTGTAAAATTTTTGGCAATCCCAGTCGATCGAGACGCGTTACACGCTGTGTTGAAAGTATGCCTACGGCTGACGAGAGATTATCGAAATGCGGAGGTATTCGCGCGGGAAGGTGGTGTTAAGTTACTCCTCGAAATGACGCAGATGTGCAGTTTTACCGGCTGCATCAATTTATGTACATTACTGATACGACATACTCTTGAAGAGCCACGCACCCTTCGCCTTGCAATGGAGAAGGTACTTGTGTTTATATTTTCAATATAATTTCGTGTAATCCATTTATGTAAGAATGAATTATTCGTCCAATTTTGTTCTAGGTCATTCGTGCGCGCACGCAGAGCAACATACCTCCTGCATATAAAGAGATACTTTTTATGACGCGACAGATCAGCAGCGCTGTTTGCCGTAATCCAGAAGTATACAAAGAAGTGTGCGAAAATATCCTTAGAGTTGACATAAGTTGCTTAAAAAGTGAGTTTTAGTTAATGATGCTTTAGTTAGGATTTACTTAACCCCTTCAGGCTCAACGCACATTGTAATGTACATCAAATTTGAAGATGTCTGTTGAAATTATTTAATTTTGTTGACATCATCTAAGATCTATCTGATGTACGTAGTAATGTGTATGTTGAAAAAATAGTCAAAATTAAAAAAAAAATTAATTATTTAGTTATTGAATTATTTATTTAAGTACGCATGAACTGAATTAAAAGAATTTTTTAAATATAGTTTCCCAATAAAATCAGGTCTAAAGGGATTAAGTAATATGAAATAATAATTTAACTATTAACTTCTTATTTTGTTTTAAAATTATATCTTTTATTTTGCAGAAGATGATGTTGACAATAGGCTAGTTGTAAAAGCCTTACCTCCTAGTCACTCTCCAGCATTACCGATGGTAGAAGAGGTATCTGTAGGTGTTATTCGTGATATGTTAAACGCATTGATTAAGCCAATGCCAATGTTGTCGGATGACGGATCAGCAACCCCAACAAGCCCCGAAAAGAAGACATCACATACGACAACTCCATCGATGGGTAACACATCATCATCGGCATCATCATCACGGCGAGATGTACTGAGAAATAATGCAACAACAACTAACGATCCTTTGGACGACGACGATCAAGTGTCGCAAATTATTCCTCTAAAGATTTACACTGACCTCGGTAACAACAGCAAGATAGAACCGGAGGAGGCAAAGAAGCCTATTTTAACAAAATCTGCGATATTAAAAATATTGGCAGAAGCTGTGAGATCTTACGGCGCTGTAGCTAGTCTTATCACCGAACATACGTATAGAGCTGGACAAAGCGAGATGGTATCTGAAGACACGACGGCTTTAGCGTTCTTGCTAGATAAACTTTTGCCGATGTCGCCGGAAAATTCGGGCGATCGAACGTGCAGTAGCATGGCGAGAATGTTGATTGCTGCGATAGCTTCGTGCAATCACTCGCCGGATGTACAGACGACTTTGGTAACAGAAGTGAAGGCAGCTTTGACGAGAACGCTCGCGCTTCCGGAGAGTTCTGAGAAGCACGCGCAGCTTCAATTACTAATCGGGCTGATCTCTACCATGATTGATAGTTGTCCGCCAAATATGTCACATACTCAGCTAAGGGCTTCTTTGAGAGCCCATCAATACAATAACGTTAATTACATCGTCAGAATAATGCTGAGAAAGGGTATAATCACCGACTTGGCCAAAATACCGCACAGTCTCGACTTGTCGAGTCCGAATATGGCTGGCACGATTAACGCCGCGTTGAAACCGTTAGAGACCTTATCGCGCATTATCAATCAACCAATACCGGGTGCGGTCAATAACAAATTTACGAAGCCGAAAAATAGGACAGTTCAGGAAGAACCGATTGGAGAACAGACAGGCACTACGACCTCCGAAGCTACGCATGCCGTAGGAGAGGAAGCGAATGAGGACGCAGAGAATACTGAGCATGATATCTCTGTAACAGCTGAAAGCTTGGAACCGACGTCGGAGAGTCAGGTACATGAGGAAGGAGATGAGGCTGCATTGGAGGATATCATGGATCAACTTCTCGAAAGGTAACGAGATGCAAATTAACAAATAATCAAATTTCGATGAACGTCATGCAATTCAAATAAAGTGTACAAGTAAATTTAATTTGTTTTATGTTTGATTAAAATATATTTATGCAGTAATGACATTAATATGGCAGATAAAAAAATATTTAATATAACCATAAATGAAATTTAAAATGATATGCTCATATATATGTGGTATAGATATCGCATAGTGATAATGTCTCTCATTTTAAAAGATGTTAGCAAAGTACTCTCCTTACACGGATTGTATTTTATGTGATTTTATTTTGTAATATACATCTGTAAAATTCAATTATATAAATTACATCAAACTCAAACACATGTGTGTATACATATAATATATATATTTTTAAATTTAAACATTTAAACATGATATATGTATATATTTTTTAATTTAAACATATGTATTTTTTTCTGATGTTTATGTGTATTTTTGTTTTTTGTTTATGTATTGCACACGTTCGCGAATCTTTTTTTATTTGTTTTCATAGCCCTTCAAGTTTATGAAAACTACAGTACTTATAATCAAGTAGTGTACTGTTTTCCAGGGACGGCTCGGCCGTGGCGGAAGAACCATCTTCTCGCCCGCACAGGCCAATGGACATCGATGATGAAAGTCTCGCAATGCGTGACGCAGAGGGCGATTTTGATCCAACTCGAGATACCACAGTAAGAGTAACGTCACTTTTTTCATTTTTCTCATGTAATTAGTACTTTCCGTTTTATTTTCTGAATTTACAATGAATTTTATTCATTATAGGAGGACTTAATGAGCTCGGACTCTGATTCCGATAGCAATCCGTCTGATGATAATGAGGACGAGGTGCAGGACGATGAGGACGAAGAGGAGGAAGAGGAAGATGATGGTAGATATTTCTTGATACATAGTAAAAACAGCCGAGATAGAAAGATCATATATTTCTTATCCTTATTTATGTTATAGGGGAAGAAAATGAGGAAGAAGAGGAAGAAGAGGAGGAAGGATCGTCCAATTATGAAGAAGATGGAATAGAATTTTACGAGGACGTTGGAGAGGGCGGTGTTTTTCGTATGTTTCCTTCTTCTGAACGCGATGGTGGTAATGTCGTAATGATACAACACAACATTGAAAATCAGGACATTGCGAATACATCGACGCCAGTTAATACGCGACCTAGTCTTCCATGGAATACCACATTCCCGTTACCATTAGGTCTGTTTGAAGAGCCGCCTGCAGGTTCTGAAAACAATGGTAAATAGGAGCGAAAATTGATAATTACAGTCGGAAATTCCCTTGTTCTTGATTAATCAGAACCGAACCTCTCTATTCTTGACTTCAAAGTCTGTTTTTTTCTATCCCAAGTTCCGAACTGATGTATACTAGTGCAATAAATTAAAATGAGACAGGTTTAGTTTGTTACACTCTAACTTGTTACACTAGTTCAGAACTAGTTCAGAATTCTTCGAAAAAAGAACAGACCTTCAGTTTCTTCAATTTTTATGTAATACAATATATTGCTAAAATAGGTTTTCATCCATTTTCATATACATGTAGAATGGAAGTATACGTAATCTCAGTTTACGAAGGCTCAGTTGGTTGAAAATAGGGGGTTTCGATATGAATGATCGACTGTGTTTTTTCTCTCCTTTTTTTTCTTTTATCTTTCATTTAATTACCTGCATGTTTTTAAGATGTATAATTCCAATAATTTTGATGCAGGTATCAGTACTCATCCATTATTGATATCGCAAGGAAGTTTGGACACTGCAAGTACTAGAACGCGTGTTTTACGACGTGCTAGACAGTATCAGTACCTTCAGTTATCCAATCCACGTAGTTCAAACCCACCTGTAATATTACAAAGGTATGTATTTATATATTAGTAAAACATTATGTTTTGTGAATAAAGTAAATACTAGTCTAATTATTTAATATACTTGAAAGCAAAAATCAGAGCAACAAGGTAATAGGTGTTGAAAATCGTATGCTGATATTTAAAAGAAATTACTTAATCTTAAAAGATTACAAAAGTTTATTTAAAAAGACAAATGTTAATTATACAGTCTTCTCTAATGTGTACATGATATATAGACTCTTAGGTCCAGCTGCACAGACTCTCCCTTTATCCGCCAGTCAAGTTTTAGCGTCAAGCTTTAGAGATACACGTGTTGTCGTAATGGATAATGGATTGGGAATATTTACTAATCAAGAGGAAGAGCAAATCGATTATGTTGTACGTACATAATTATGTAATACGAAAATATAAACAAATATTAAAAAATATAAGTTGTAACTCTCAATTTTATCGTTAGGATCAATCTGGATATCTTTTTGGTCCAAGCCTTGCAGCAACTTTGAATAATATACCAACCGCATTGCATTGGTGGATCGAAGAGAGCAAGCAATTAGACGGAGATTCTCAACCGGATTGTTGCGTTGGTGAGAACAAAAGCATTTGTTATTGTTAATTTTGTATTTTTATGTACATAGTAGTTTTATTAATTTTTCATGTCGGATAGGTGTTGTTCATAAGCTGATACCTGGACTCGAAAAGCACAGGAATGCCGAACTTGCTGAACGCAAAGAGAAACGTAAAAAACAACATGGATCAGAAAAAGAGAATGAAAAGGATAATAAAGAAGAAAAAGAACGTTCAAATACTACCGATGGTAAATATACTCCCATATTTTTCTACACAAATATTTACTTCTTATATACACATACACGTATACGACGATAGTTCTTGGCGTGATACAAAAAATGCCACAAGTATGAAACTATTATAATTTTAGACTAGTTATCTTGCACAGAGCTACTGTTAAAATTTCAGATAGATGCGTTCATTAATTTTTTTGTTTCGGTCTGATGAAACACAGTACTTGCTAAACCTATTCATGAAATTTTGCGACTTAAAAAATGAGCATTGTGATGGAATTGAGAATCGATTGATTTACACGATCGAGACAAAGAAATTAATGAATGCATCTGTCTGAAATTTTAACAATATTCCTGTGCAGGATCAAACTTGTCTAAAATTATAGCAGTTTGATACTTGTGGTCATTCCTGTGTCAGGCCGAAAACTTTTTGAATCACTCTCGCGTATATACATAATTATGAAAACGATTTAAAAATACGATAATACAATTTCTTAAACTGCATCTGATATTTTAGTTACATTGCCCAATTTGACATTGGATGAACAGCGACCATCAGCATCAACCTCACTACGAACCGACGTCACCCCACTTGTTGCTGGAGAAGGAACTGCGGTAGAAACAACAAGACAGGAGCGCACTCCGGAAGAGGACATAATCGGTATAGCTATATACGCAAGATAATATTTTTTATTTATTTTTAATGAATGTTTTAGACGCGTGTTTCTATGTATTTTTTACATACTATAGATGTAACAGGTGAAATGGAAGTAACGGTTCAAGAGGATGAGGAACGACCACCTCCACCACCGCCAGAAGAACAGTCAGTCTCCGATAGTCGTGATCCTCGCACGGTAAATCGGAATTCCACGTTAGAGTTGGCTGAAAGTATCGTCGATTCTGTACTTGGACCGTGCACATCTGAAGCGACCATTAGATTAAGTAATATGCCTATTACTATTTTATTAAAAATAATTAAAATCGTCCGTTTAAAACGCTATTATACATATCTCTTATTTTTGTATTATTTATGTCATGGATCGAATGCAAGTTGACTACTTTAGAAATTGAGATCTTTTGCACTCAAAATTTAGACTGGTTAACTGTCTTTATTGCTAAGTTATCGTTAAGCCTCTGTGTACTAATATTTTTTTGTCATTAGACCTACATGTGTCTAATGACGCGCCTACGCATCTTGCTTCAACAGGGCAGCCTGGGCGAAGTAACGTAGAAACAACGAATGTTCCCGAATCATCGTCTAATCGTACTTCGGCTGCACCATTAGTAGTAGATTTTGGTCAAGAAACTAGCGAGGATCTGTCGAGGGAGAGTAGTGATTCGGCCGATTGGATTCGCAGACTCTTGACGGACGACAGTCAGTGTCGAACAAGCGACATTGATTTACGGCGTGAACGAAAGTAAGTACTGTACACATGTGAATAAAAATTATAGCAGTTTTAACATAAAATATCATTGTAGTGCCAACGTTGTCAATCAGGATCCGACGTCGTCAATTACGGCCGAGACCGCTACTGCGGCAGGGACTTCAGAACAATCACAGCAACCGTCGCAACAGCAACCACAACAACAATCCAGTAATCAGGAGCAACAACTACCGGACGGTGTGGATCCGTCGTTCTTGGCTGCTCTGCCTGAAGATATGCGCGATGAAGTCATTGCCGAGCAGCTCAGGTCAGTTGATCTTACTCGTATGTTTATAATATATATAGAGGTAATATGTAAATACTAATAAAATAAATAATAATAAGTAACGGGCAAAGTAAGAGTCAACAACTTTTCTTCGAAATTAACAAAAATTATATATATTATAATTAACAGAGGTAAAATTACATAACGCCAAAAATTAGAATCGAAATTACGAAAATGAATACAAGTTACAAGTTTCGGCTACCGGATTGAGCCCTCTTCAGACATTAACATAACGGAAAAATCACAGAATAAAATCAATTATCGCAAATGATCGCATATTCAGAATATTCACAGTTCGGGTAAGTCTTGATCTCGAATTCAACATAATTTCCGTACGGTTGAACCGTCAATATTAAAAATATCTTGGTAAAGTTCTAGTTGATAAAAAAGATAAATTAAAAAACAAAAAAACCGTACCACAAAAAATCTACGCAAGAATAAAATAAAATACTGGAAATCTAATAAAAAAATTATGTAATAAAAAACTCACCAGAATTCATATGTAAGAAATTTAAATTAGCGTGTCCAAAAAGAAATAAAAAACTTATGAAAAATATACAGCAAGAAGGAGCGCAGATGTGTAAGACAGACATTACGTGTCGCTTATTATGTACGTTCAGTAGTGCGGATCAACACAGACTGAGAGAGGAGACGGACTGTTAGTAACAGAAAGTCAAACTTTATTTATGATGGGAATATAAGCCTTGTGGAGGCCATCGGTGTCTGTTTGTAAATTGAGACCATTCTTTTGCTTTCTGATATTAAGCATCTCTGAAACCAAACGTCTCCGATAGCAGGGCTCTTCATCTAAAATTACGACACGCAGACAAAGGCAACGTCACGGTTGCTTTGAACAGAGAGGTTTACTTGAACAAGATGACCACTCTGCTGAATGACGTTAACACATATTCTCGGATCAATAAAGATCCTACCAGGAAACTCACGACGGCGTTAAGGTCCATGCTCACCAGATGGAAAACTAAAAATTACGTTGGATTGCCGAAGATTCATAAACCTGGTTGCCCTCTTAGGGTCATCGTCTCTTCGATAGGGAGTCCGCTGTATTCATTGGTTACATTTTTGCATAACATATTATTCAAATCCATTTCCAAAACGAACAGTTACATAAAAAATAGTTTTGAATTAGTTGACAAATTAAAACGGTTACACATTACAGATGAATATAAACTAATTTCACTAGATGTCAAATCTTTGTTCACGAATGTTCCAATGGAGATAGCTGTTGACTGTGTTAATGAACAGTGGGATTTTATTTCCAAAGAGTGCCCTCTCCCAAAAGAGGAGTTTTTGGGAGCAATAAAGTTCACCCTCGATTCCACTTTTTTCGCATTCAACAATATAATTTATAAGCAAAACTTCGGCACTCCCATGGGCTCTCCTTTATCGCCTGTAATAGCGAACTTGGTGATGAGGAGACTTGAGACAGTTTCCTTGATGTCGTTGGACTTAGATGTAGCATTTTATTTTAGATACGTGGATGACATTTGTACTGCGGTTGCTCCCTCAAAAATTGACTTAGTATTAGAACAATTTAATTCATTCCATCCGCGGTTACAATTTACTTCAGAATTTGGGGGAGACGAAATTAATTTTCTGGATGTTACTATATCTATCAATGGAAACAGGTTCGGTTTTGATTGGTACCGTAAGCCGACCTTTTCAGGGAGGTTTTTGAATTTCTATTCTAACCATCCCATTGCACAAAAGAGAGGGACGATTTGAGTGCTGATTGACAGAGCATTTTTATTATCAAACTTTAGATTTCATACATATAATTTGACGTTTATTATCAACATTTTATTAGATAATGACTATCCATTAACCTTCATTTTTGACACAATCAATCAACGAATAAAAAATTTAATTAAAAATAGACACACAACACATAGTGATTTGACTGACAAGGTCGAGACGAATGAATCTGTTTCTTGGCTTACGGTTCCATTCATCCCTCTCCACATGGAAAAGTTCAAACGTTTCGATAAAAACGACATCAGGGTATCTTTCCATAGTCCCAATAAATTAAAAAAATACATCAAAGTACATAAAGATATTTGCCCACACACATTGAAGAACAACGTGATATGTACAAGATTTCATGTAATAATTGTGACGCGTCATACGTGGGACAGACGAGTAGAAAATTAAAGACCAGGATTGCTGAACATCGCAATCACATTAGACACAACACTCTGTCCGTTCTGTTGTAACTGAACATAGGAGACAGCTTGATAACGAATTTAAATGGGATGAAGTCGTAATTTTAGATGAAGGGCCCTGCTATCGGAGACGTTTGGTTTCAGAGATGCTTAATATCAGAAAGCAAAAGAATGGTCTCAATTTACAAACAGACACCGATGGCCTCCACAAGGCTTATATTCCCATCATAAATAAAGTTTGACTTTCTGTTACTAACAGTCCGTCTCCTCTCTCAGTCTGTGTTGATCCGCACTACTGAACGTACATAATAAGACACGTAATGTCTGTCTTACACATCTGCGCTCCTTCTTGCTGTATATTTTTCATAAGTTTTTTATTTCTTTTTGGACACGCTAATTTAAATTTCTTACATATGAATTCTGGTGAGTTTTTTATTACATAATTTTTTTATTAGATTTCCAGTATTTTATTTTATTCTTGCGTAGATTTTTTGTGGTACGGTTTTTTTGTTTTTTAATTTATCTTTTTTATCAACTAGAACTTTACCAAGATATTTTTAATATTGACGGTTCAACCGTACGGAAATTATGTTGAATTCGAGATCAAGACTTACCCGAACTGTGAATATTCTGAATATGCGATCATTTGCGATAATTGATTTTATTCTGTGATTTTTCCGTTATGTTAATGTCTGAAGAGGGCTCAATCCGGTAGCCGAAACTTGTAACTTGTATTCATTTTCGTAATTTCGATTCTAATTTTTGGCGTTATGTAATTTTACCTCTGTTAATTATAATATATATAATTTTTGTTAATTTCGAAGAAAAGTTGTTGACTCTTACTTTGCCCGTTACTTATTATTATTTGTTTTGTATAGAAAGAGTCCTTTGATTTGTTATTTCTAATAAAATAATATGTCTGCAGGCTGCAACGTATGAGGCAACGCGCACAGGCTTCTGTAGTCGAGGAGCTTAGCGGACCGGTTGAAGTAAATCCTGAATTCCTAGCTGCTTTACCACCGGCGATACAAGAGGAGGTCTTGGCACAACAACGCATGGAACAGCAACGACATGCGGCCGCATCGGCGAATCCGGAGGATCCCGTGGATGCTGCCGCTTTCTTCCAAAATCTGCAACCTTCCCTTCGACAAGCTGTTAGTATATATTCTCGGACTAATTTATCGTTTTACCTCGATAGTGATGTTTAATTTCTACTTCTGAAGTTGAAATTTGTCTGTAGATCCTAACTGATATGGAAGAGTCTCAAATATCCGTCCTTCCACCAGATTTAGCTCAAGAAGCTCAAAACTTAAGGAGAGAATGGGAAGCTCGTAATCGACACATGATGCAAGAAAGATTCCTCAATCATGTTAGTCAAAGCAATACTGCTCTCTCAAGCATATTAAGAAATTCTGGTAGAGGTAAGTTTCGGTTTTAATCAATTAGATTATGCATAAAACTTAGCGTGGATAAGCATTAACGTGAATAAAAAGTTTTATGTATAAAATGTGTACACATAATTTTCATTATTCATAATGTATAAAAAAATGTAAAAACACATAGTTTTTATAATTGAATTGTAATTTTGTTTTTATACAAAAATCGCAAATATATTTGTAGCTCGTGGAGGTGGTACTCGATATGCGATTCACGCCGTTCCACAACGATCTCAATGGAATACTTGGAACGCTCGCGGCGATACAAATATGGCTCATCAAGGCGCTGGCTTACGATTAAGAGGCCGTCAATTACTCGATCATGAATCGATGGCATGCCTGCTTGTGTTATTATTTGTTGATGAGCCAAAAATTAACACGCTTAGGCTTCATAGAGTGATCAGAAATCTTTGTTATCACGGTAGCACAAGGGAGTGGATAGTGAAAGCATTACTAAGCATCATGGAAAGAAGTAACGATGAGAATAAAGATATAATACCAGATTTCAGTGGAAAATTTAAGAGGAAAGGATTATTAAATGCTCCCATGGATTTATGGTAAAACTTTTCTCCGCTTAGGAATTGATTCTAAACATGTTTATCGTAATCTTTTATCCTTTATTTCAGTTCTCCAAAGATTTTTGACCAAAGAAATAACACACAATCATGGCTAAATATTAGTATCGATGCTGCACTTGGTTGCAGAGCAAATGTATTTCATATAGTACGCCATGCTGGTAAGAAATCTGAAAGGCAAGGTAATATTATTGCAATTCATCCGCAAGCTGCACCTACTGTATGCAGGTCAGTGTACTATCTTAAAAATATTTAGATTGAAATAAAAACACAATTTATTAAAAATAATTTTCTCTTATTCTTCTTTTATTATTTCTATATAATGATAAAACGTCTTTCTGTTTCATATTGAATTACAGGCATACTTTAGAACTGTTGATTTCTCTCGCTAAGAGTTTCCCTGGATATTTTGTGCCAATAAAATCTAAGGATTTAGACGATAAAGATAGTGGTAAGGAGAAGGACGTGAGTGGCTGTAAAGAGGAAGGCGGAGCGAAAAACAAGTCGGCATCTAAAATAGGAAGAAGCGATCTTCCAGATTTCTGGGATTTGCTTCTGAAATTGGATTCATGTGCATCCAAAAAAGGAAAATCAGTTGCAAGAACTCATTCGAATACGAATTTGGGGACTGAGCCAGAACATGGCACAACTTCATTTGAAGCTTCCGCATTCGGCCAGCTTATCTCGATGCTCAATTGGTCTGTGATTAAGCGAAGCAGTCAATTGACAGATAAGTTGTTGCGACTTCTGTCTTTGATCTCTATCGGCTTGACGGAAGTAAATCCCTATCGACGGCAGGAAGGTGGTGTAAAGAATAAGAAAACTGAAGTTAATAAGGATCAGAGTGTCGCCGCGCCAGAAGGACACCTCAAGCTGGCCGTACAGGTTTTGACTAGTAAAAGTTGTTCCGAGGATGGACTTGAAGATGCAACTGCACTATTACTTAATCTATCTCATTGTCCTGATCCTACTAGACAATTAGTATGTATTGTATTCTTATATAGATTAATACAAATAATGTTAATATTAATATTAACATTAATGTTGATATTATAACATTAATATAACGATACGATGTTAATATCTTTTCTTCTATCTATATTTTTTCCTAGATATTAAAATTACTTTTGGAAGGTGCGATGGAATTGGCAAATATGGTGTGTGAACATATCAACGATTTGATGATGGAATTAAAAGTTCTAAATCGTGAATTAAGTCGAAGAAATTCTTTGGAGGATCAACCATCGACTAGTAGTGGGAATGGACGAGGAATTTTATTAGATAGGTAAAAAATATTTTTATAGCACGCAATTAAAAATGTTAAAGCGTGTCAATTTTATACGCTTTGCATTCTCAAGAAGAAGCTAGAGAGTAGTCTGTAAAAATGGTCTTTTCAGATTTACTAATGAAAATGTAGTCGTCACAGCACCGAGTAAAGTTAAAGCCGGAAGTGACCTTCAATTACCATCGATGGCTGCTCTCGTCAGTAAAACCTCTAGTCAGGCATTTTTTTTGAGAATACTTAAAGTTATTGTGCAAATAAGGGAAGCTGTGCGCTTAGCAAACACCAAGAAAACAAGTATGATATATATATATATATATATGTGCGTATATGCGTGCGTCTATATATATATATATATATATATATATATA